AGTTACTATTTATTATTTAATTAATAATTATAGTTAGCAAAATGGAAAACTGCTGAAGAAGTTGCTGCTTTGATACGTTCTTTACCTGTTGAAGAACAACCAAAACAAATTATTGTGACTCGAAAAGGAATGTTAGATCCTCTCGAGGTAACATGATTTATTTTAAAGAATTAAAGTTAATATTAAATGAATACTTAACTAAATTAAGTCTCTTTTATGATTGTGAAGGTTCATCTCTTAGATTTTCCAAATATTGTGATAAAAGGTTCAGAATTACAGCTACCTTTCCAAGCATGCTTAAAAGTTGAGAAATTTGGTGACCTCATTTTAAAAGCTACAGAGCCACAAATGGTTTTATTCAATTTATATGATGATTGGTTAAAGACAATTTCATCCTATACAGTAAATAATTATTAAAAAAAATTTAATTGTTTGTTAAAATATTATACTTGATTTCAGGCATTTTCACGATTAATTCTAATATTAAGAGCTTTGCATGTTAATACTGAGCGTACCAAAGTTGTTTTAAAACCAGACAAAACAACTATAACAGAACCTCATCACATTTGGCCTACATTAAGTGATGATGAATGGATTAAAGTGGAAGTTCAATTGAAAGATCTAATTTTAGCTGATTATGGAAAAAAAAATAAGTAATATATTAATTATAAATCACTACAAAATAATATTTTGTATTCTACAAACATTTTATCTCATTAAAAACTTTGTTATATTTGTTTTTTAAATATTTAAAGTATAGAAATTAATACTTATAAATGTGTATTTATGTTTTAGTGTTAATGTAGCTTCTTTAACACAATCTGAAATTCGTGATATTATTCTGGGAATGGAAATAAGCGCTCCATCAGCACAAAGACAACAAATTGCAGAAATAGAAAAACAAACAAAGGAACAATCACAATTGACAGCCACGACCACAAGAACTGTAAACAAACATGGAGATGACATAATTACTTCTACCACTTCAAACTATGAAACACAAACATTCAGGTATATTAAATTTATACACAAGATTCTAGTTTTAGAATCAAATTCTCTAATTAGTGAGAGTGCTAGGTTTTGCTCCTATTCCAGAAGGGAAGGAGTTGAAGTGGGATAGATCTTCCTTGTGAAAATAATTATTAGATAAAGATAAAGAAAATTTTGTTTAGGAGGAAATAGTTTTTTTATAGTTTTGTGTATATCCCCCTAAAAACAAAACCTTAACTATAACACTGCCATATGCAGGGTCTCTTAAACCATGGAGCTGGTTAAAGCCTAATAAGTATACAACTGTATTAACTAAACAGTTAACCTAAAAATAATTTAATAAAGTAGTATTTTTTATTGATTGTTTAGTATATCGATACAATATTTCCTTCTGACTGCTTACTAATATTAAAGTAAATATATAAAACATTTTTTTGTAATGCCTTCTAAATGTAAAATTATTTTTACCAATTAATTAACTTGCCCTAATAAGTGTGCTCTCATAACTTCATTTTTTAATTTTTAATGTGCCACTGAAAATTTTTTAGCTTTGATGCGAAGCTTAGAAGGTATTAATTTTACTATGTGTTTTTTTTTTTTTTTTCTGTTA